GAATGCACAGAAATTAAAGATTTGCACATGTCGGAAATGAAAACTAGGAAATATGTATGGGGTATTTATGCATGTGCTTGCAAAAAGCATGTATCTGCCTTTGACAAAAATACTAAATATTTATTAAATTATTATAAATGTATTTAAAATGAAGAATTTATTCACTTACAAACAACTGTGAAGAAATCTAATTATTAAATGTATTAATTTATAATGATTTATAAATGTTATCTAAATATATAATAACCTTAATATTGAATTGTAAACATAAATTGAAATCCTGTTGACAAATACGTTATAAAACTATTTAAAGCAAGAATTGTTTGTATTGGAAAGCAATCTGTTAAAAGGTATTGTAAAAGCAAATGCTATGAGATGCGCACTTAAGAACGTAATAAAGAGTTTTGGAATATGTATTGTTGAAATGAAGGGTAAAAAAAAAAAATAAGTATAATCAAAAAAATTATTCCCTTACAATTTATAATAACTCGGTTACAAGATTGAAATAATACTTAAAAAAAAACTTATTCCCTTTCAGAAATGTTCAGAGAAAGTCAAGTACTATTTAAAGTATTTCGCTAATTCCTAATAATTCTCTAATTTAAAAATGAATCGAATAGAGCATTAATTATAAATTGACTTACATTTTTCGATTTAAAAGATGCCTCAGAAGCCAAAAAATCATGTCATATTTAAGAAAGTATTTAGGAAGAAGCTCTATAAATAGAAAAATAATGCATAATTTCAATATTAATAATACAATAAACTTTGATCTTAATTTTTGTACCTTAACTGAATAATCGAATTACCTTAATTTTTTTTTCTAATGTAATTAACGAAAACTTGTGAAAATATTTCATTCAAATTAAACCATTCTGAGAAACTCCTGTGAAAAGTATAGCATTTAATTCCGTTCAGAATTGAAATGTTGTTTAAAAATATGTTGTTTTCATATACTTAGGACTCTGAAGTGTTGTAGAAAAAGAAAATATATACATTTATATGTATATTACGACATAATTACAAAATATTTACATCCGAACGCATCAAATCCCATTGAACTCAATGGTAAATGACCCAATGTTTTGGTCACCACGTAGGGATCGCCGGTGCTTCAGAGCAGGGTACGGGAGAAACTTGTTTAGGGCTACTCCATCTTACTTCCTACCTCCATGGGTAGAACGGATGTAACAACAACCAAACTCCAAGATGCTGGAAATGCAGTGGTGAAGGCCACTTACAAAGGAACTGCACCCCAGGCAAGACAGCCAACACCTCTCTCCCAGCAAAAAGAAGGAAAACTAATTAGTTAATTAATGACAGTCTCACGGGGCAGAGGTTGCTGGATATTGAAAAGACCAATGTTTAAAGCACTTCAGATTTCTGCATATAGTGACAGCAGTAACTTTCTTCATCATGGGACATATAAAAGGAATTCCTTGCAATATGACTATCAATACAGGAGCCAATGTCACCATCATCTGAAAAGGATCTGGCTGAAGAGTTGGAAGATAAACACATCTGAACACTACACTGCATCCTCCTCCAGATTGTATTTGTTGATAAAATCAATGGAAAGCTGAACGTTAACCACACATTTGGATGTAACTTTGCATACTCGGATTAGACAAAGGAAATACAATTGATTCTCGGACTTTAAAAATAATGAACTGCATTCTACCTCTGAGGAGATAATCTTTCTTGGAACTAGATAAAGGAGTTAAATCCGTCACACAGCATGGTAGAGAGGTTTAATTGAACCATCCTTTAACAAACTTAGGGTGATGGTTTCCAGAAACCAACAGGACTGGGACCAGAAGATGCTTCTCTTCATACTAGCCCATTGCAATGCTATCCACGAGACTACCGGCTATTCCCCATCCCAGATACTCAGTGACCTTCGTTTGCCTTGTGATCTGTTGTTTGGTTCGTCCTCCGGATGCGCTTTCATGACCTGAAAAGTATGTTCAAGATTTCCAGGGACAGTTGGAAGTCATGCACAGTTTTGCACGACCGTGAGACAAGCTGGCGATGAAGAAGATGAATACCTGATGCAACATGAGAGCTACAGGACATCGATTCAAGACTAGCCCCTTATTTAATAGTTACAATGTAATTAGTAAGGCCATGAACCTGTGTGCAAATAAATTTGTAAATTCGTTTATTGATTGATTTAGTATTTCATTAGTTGTACATTATTTATTAAAATTCTTATTTTAGTATTGCATTGAGTTTTCTTAATTGTAAGTATGGCTTTCTGTAGAGGGACTGTAGTGCTCGGGTAAGGCAGTCTCTGGGAAGGGGGTTCATGCTACGAATTTTGCATACATGCAAATAATTTTAGTGAAATTATATGTACCGTATATACCCGCATATAAGTCGACCCCCCACTTCGACATAAAAAATTCATAGAAAATAAGAAACCCGCGTATAAGTCGATCCCCCACTTCCGAAATCAATCGAGAAACTTCGAAAAATTTTTTTTAAGTACTACATTTATTCAAAATCGTGAGGAAAAAAAGTAAATATATGATAAAAAATACCTTCGTAAATAAACAAAATCAAAATCCTTCAACGTCCGATTCATGGTCAGATTTGGCAAACATTTCATAGAACTCTTCTGTCGTCATTGGCTCGTCATCGTACATATTTCAGTCTCGAACTCTGTATTGTTACAATCACTACTAGAGCCTTCGTCATTTTCACTTTCAAAAACAGCATCATCTTCCGTGCCGTCTAGTTTGTTGCTAATACAACATTTTTTAAATGATTTTATAATCATTTCAGAGGGTATGTCGTTCCAAGCATCTTTAACCCACTCAGCAATTAATGTAATATCGGGCTTTTTAATGTTGACTTTTTAAAAGTTAAATATTCAAAACCGTTCAATTATTGCGTGGGCTATTTTTTAAAATTTTGACGTGTACGCCTGTTAACAAAAATATTTCATGAATGAACAATAACTATTATAAAGACTTATACATACGTAAAAACTATCTGCATTTCTCTTTTCTTGGCATGTTGGCGAAACTTTTTTATCGCTCGATATTGATCGGTTGTTTGGGGGCCGAAAATTCTTTGGCTTAATCGAAACTTACTCTAGTTAAAGTATGAAACTCTGTGATTAGTTCGTCACATAATTTAAGTCATGAAATTACTTCAAGTAAGTGACTTATTTAATAAGTTGTCCAATTTGAATGCGGGAAGAAAACAACTGCATTATATAAAAAAATTTTTGAACTTCCAATTCTTTTAATTTTTTATGGCCCCGCGTATAAGTCGACCCCTCCAACTTTGAAGTCTTTTTTTTGTCCAAAATAACTCGACTTATACGCAGGTATATACGGTAAGTTGTAGTGTAACATTAAAGGCCTCAAGATGCGAACCATTGTCAGAAAAATAAGGGTATAGGGTAAATTCTTCGCGACCATTAGGGCCCTATACTTATGTAACTGTGTATGCCTTCCAGAAGTTGAAGGTACTGGAAATATCTCGGCAGAGGTGATACAGATACCGCAGAAAGCATCAATCTAGTTTAGATCAGAGTACCGAGAGATAACTGTACAAGCTTCTCATTTGACACTTTTTTATTATTTTATTTTGTTCTAAGTTGTCTGAAATGGTAACTACTGACTGTGCTCTTTTATACTGACAACAGCTGTACGAGTATTTTTATGAAAAGTTCCAGAACTGTAAAGTGTTCATTTTTGGAAAACAAATTTCATCAAGCTATCATCGGTTCTATGTCCATTCAAGTCATCATGATCATGTACACATGTAACAGTACATTGCATTCTGATTAATAAGAACATGTTTTCTGTTTCTCTTAAATTATTGATTTTATGTAACTCTCAGATCAACATATTTATTATTAAGTAGCTCTTAGTTTAAACTTCTACTCAAATAATGATTCTTTTAATAAGCAGGTAGAGTGGAAGAAAATCATCTGACAGTCTAAGATGAGGGCATAGTTAGTTTTAAAGTAACATAGTTAATCGTATAAGGCATGGTAAAAGATTTGGAAAATATTTCTAACTTCCCTTTCATTAAGAAAAATGCAAGTCTTATATAGATTATTTCTAAGAACTGCCACATTAGCCTCAAAAAGAGGGCTTTACGCTTAATAAAATTTACAATCTAGAAGCAGGTGCTTTTTTCATTGTCTAGTCATTTTTGTATTTCTATACAGTTTTATAAAACTGATGTGAATTTGTGTTTTTATGGCGTTTAAACAAATGGAAGAAATTGTACTTTTCAGTATTATTCATTGCACCTTAATATGCATTTCTGTCACTAATGAAAAATATTTTGTATAAATGATAGTATTATTTTTAATTGATAATTCTCCCCCCCTGTAGTTTTCTGTATTTAAAATACAGCCTGTTTGTGTGAAAGAACAGCACTGAAAAGCTGCATATTTTTTTTAGCTTTGTTAAATAATAAAACATGGTCATTTGTGACATTTGTAAACAGTTCTTGTGCTTAAAACTAAATAACAAGTAAGGTAAAAGAGCATTCAAGTCATAGTCCACAGAACATCCTGAAATATTTTTGCGTTTCATATTTTAATAGTTCATACAAATGAAATAAATAGCCATGAAGACTTTTCAGAAGCCTTCTATGTGTTTCTCCACTACAGGCTTTATTAGTATTTCTTATTAAATAATTCACAAAATAGGGAATATTCACTACATACTGAAACATTTTTCTGTTTAAACAGTTAAAAATTTTAAGAAATGTATTCTACAAATAAAAATTTAAAAACAATCATTAAGTCTCTTTAGTTAAAACATGAATATAATGTATCAAGAATATGGAAAAATCTTACCAGTTTATGAAATTTGTTGCCCTAGAAGTACACACATTTATTATGCAAGTTTCATTTTATGTAGGAATACCTTTAACAGTAAAAGGAAATGAGTATAATGAAATGATTCTAATAACAATACCAAAAAGTTTTAAAGGAGCAAGATAATGAAATGATGTAGAAAATTCAAGTCTTTAAATTAGAAATATAGATCTTTATTGAGCTCATTAAAAAGGACATTTAAAACATGAATAGAAAAAGAAATGCTCATATTTGTTCAACATTGAATACACATTTAAAAAACACTATATCAGACAAATGAGTTTATTACAGTAAATATAAAATATCAATACTTAACAGAATTTACATGAATACTTTTTAGATTCGGTCATTTTCACATACAGTAACAGAAAATACAGTTCTTTAATACTGTTTGGTGATAAAGTTCCTAAACTGTGGAATTTAATATAATCTCACACTTGCTGCAAGCATAAATTTCACAAAATAATGAGTCAACGGAATTTAAAAACTTATTAAGAATACATTTTTACTCAGCTCATCTCGCACTACATTGCTAGCAGTTGAACAGGTTGATTGTCTGAAGTTTTCTGCAAGTCTCGGGATGTTCTATTTCAAAAGCCTTCACAGAGTGCATCACTTCCTAAGTTGATAACATAATTAATTTGGTCAGCCATAATTACTTGGTCACCTAACCCATAACACAGTGCATTAGTAATATGTGAAATAATTTTGCTGAAACCAGAAACAACCAACTTCATGTATGTTTTGTATATGAATAAATTTAGAAGTAACATTTTCATTATGAGAGGAAGGTAATTAAGACAAATTTTACTGTTACAAATTAGACTCATGGTCACAAATCTATTATTTTCAGATACTTAAAAGACTATATTTACTGTAAGCAATTTTAAGTTCTTGAAAACACATCATTCTCTACTACAAAAGAAAATTAAGGCATCTACATTGAGAACCCCATGCTTCTTTGGATGGATATTTTTAGTTGTCTATAACAATGAGGTCATTTTAAGTTCCGAGATTAAAATTATTTGCTCAAAATTTCTACTTCTGAAATCAGGAAATTTAGGATCAACCCTGTGAAAATCCCATTTAAAATCTCAAATAATTTATATTATTAAATATCACTTACAATTTTTTAACCTGTTTTCTCTCAAAGTAGTCCATAAAAAATTATTAAATTTTGTTACACAATATACACAGAAGAAATATTAATTTTACAGAGTACTTAATAGAATATAGCTTACAGACAGCCTAAAGAGTTATACATTACAAAATATTAAATTAATCTGCAAATAATTAATTTTTCGAATTTTCAGTATTACATTATAATACAAATATGCAGTGAAATACATTAAATCAACATTGTAAAATAAATTTTATTCTGCAATTTCACAAACTCATTCCTACAATTCTATTTTAGACGTGCATAATTAATGCTGCATAGTTGTTCTCAAACTAAATATAATGCGACAGCAAAAATGAAAATATTTAAAACAAGAAATAAGCATTAATTAGTATTGTAAAAGAGGGCGAAAATTTCATTCATAGTTTAGAGGCATTTCACTAATGAGGCAAAAGTATATTTTAAGTAAAATAGACAACCTAATGTTGTGTTTAGGAGATTAAAGTAAAAGCAGATCTAAATCAGGTATTAGCTGAGAGATTTCAATTTATCAAATTAAAATATAAATGCTATTAAAGATCTTCAGAAGAAAATAATTCTCTTTAAATCACTTCTAATATTAACACAGGTTGAATAGGAATGATATTACATATTATCAAAAGAAACTATTTTCAGACAAAAACCTGTTTGTATTAAATGATTTAAATCTTATTCATTTCAAAATATGATCCACAATAACAATTTAAAATAGCTTTCTAAATATCATTACAAAGTACTTGCACATTAATGATAAGAAAAATACAGAAATTTCAATTTAAGAAAGTTAAATAACCTTTCAGAAGCTTGAGTGATAACACATTTCTTTTAAACAGCTGAGTTTCTAATTAAATTACACATATTTAACATTTTTGGAAGAAACCCTAGAAACAGTCAACTCATCTTGCTTTCAAACAATGAGAAATTATCACATATTAATTCCATCTACATAGGAAATTACTGATCTAAAAAGAACCTTAGCTCAATTCACTCAAAATGTTCATAATTTTTTTTTTTTTAAATATGTTTTATTTAACTTTCGTCTAGTATGAAGTGGCTGTGCATTTTACTTACCAACTCTTCATTTACTCTGGTGAGTTTACACATGTGTTTCTCAGTACCTTCATGATCATTTTCAATAAAAGTACTAAATAAATTTCATATAATAATGAAAATATCAATCATTTCTTGAGTACCTGATTATGTATTGGAAATGAGTTTGCATAATATACTTTTATTTATATGTCTGTGTGACACAAACATACCAGTCGCACAAAAAATTTTTACCATACCAGCTGAAGTTTAAATTTTTTCATTAATGAAATTCTTTTAGAACATTATATATACATGATTTCAATACTTCAGAACAACAGGATTTCATTGGTATTTCGATCAAAAACTTGCATGTAATACTTTAAAGGTTATTGTAGTAAAAGTTTGCTATTTTGAAAAAATAATATGCATTTTAAGAATGCTTACTAGTACAGAAATAATATATACATTTACACTTTTGGTGCCTACACTATAATCAGTTAACATTTAATGAAAAATTTCATATTCATTTAACATTAAAATCAAGTTAATTCTATTTAGCATTTCATCTACTAATTTTTTATATGTTTTCAGATCATTATTCATTATTACTGTAAATGACGTTTCCAAATACTTTTATGGGATACTTTGACACGCATAAAGTAATTCTCAATGTTTGATGGAACATATACTGCTACTTCTTTCACTTAAAGCTGATTAATTACATTCCAGTCTTTTTATCTTCATGATACTCATACGTAGTTCTTTGCTGCATTTGGAACTGATCTATTAATTTAAAAATGAACATTACTAATTTTACCAAAATACTATTCTTTCATCTTTTTTGCCGAATTCTCTACTTCTCATAATTTTAATGTAAAACACTACTCAAAGACCACAAAAATTCCCTATTTGTCTGCATCAAGCTAAAACCAAAATTAGCATGCAGCAATTATTTGTGTGCTTTTTGCAGTGTATAATCGTTTTGTGGTGACAATAAACTGCAGTTTTTATGAATCAAATTAATTAAATGCAATTTATTCATCATTAATTATCGAATACCTTTATTAGGAATTAAATAAATACTATGAACATCAAATATAGATATTGAAAAATAAGGGTCTTATTTTCCCTCTTCCTGCTTCCATACCAATTTAGACTTCAACAGTGATCAAGTTGTAACTGGTAGTTCAAACCAAAGTGAATGTACTGGCTGCATAGTTAGCTTTCATGATTTTCCCCATGTGTAACATGAATATGAGGCCACTAAGGTCCACTAAGGTATCTGTTCCCTAAGTGCTTCTCACATATTTTTTTTTTTTTACCAACTAAAATCACTAACATAAAAAAAACTATTCGCAATTCCTCATTCTATGCCATACAACAGTATAACTCTAATTCTGCTGAAAGAACTATTTTGAACTTTTTTGATTGGATAACTCCTGAGGATGCAGCTTTTATTCATAACAAGATAAATTGTTCCTTTGATGTTCATAAGTCTGTCATAAAAATGTAACTTAATATTATGTACACAAAGAATAATTTCATATGGAATTTCAAAAAATACAGAATACATAGTTAGGGCAAACTGCAAAAATTACATTTTGCATAATGCATTTTTCACCGTAAAATTTCTCACCATAGTTGAAATAATAGTGGTATATTTATAATTTCTTCACACATTGAATTACATGCAGTTAGAAACAGTGATTACAGAAAACCATTAATTTCAAGAGCAAAAATAAATTCAGATACATTAAATAACATTATATTATCAAGATGGAATAATGTTATATTGAAGTATTCAAAATATAAATAAAGAAAGCCATAAAATTATGTTTGAGGTTAATAAAATATGAGAAAATGTAAATGAGTATGAACACACTAATGATTTAATCTAAAATCAGAAATATATGTGATACTATATATATCAGTCATATATACATACACAGGGTGTTTCATGCAGCAACGTGTGGCTGAAAATGATTTCTTGAGTGGTAGTAATAACACAAAAAAGGACTAACACAAACGGTGCGACAAAAGATGTTTTATTCTGCTTAGTACAACAAATAACAGGAAAAACAGACAAGGATCATCGTTAAAGAAAGTGTCCGAAATTACGACCCCAAATCATTATGCAGCCCTCACAGCGCTGGTACGTGGAAGATCTGCAATTGATGCATGGTTCCTGCATCATGCCCTGTGGTCAAAATTTCAAACACCTTCTATGATGAGGACTATTGTCTGATTTTGTTCTTATTTCTTGGTTTCTTCTGTACTAAGTATAATAAGCATTTCTCACCCTGTTTGTGTCGTTCCTTTCTTGTTTTGCGTTATTACTACCATGCCAGGAAAACGCTTCTGACCATGCATTGCTATGCGATTTTCTATTGTATAGATGTACTCTATCTCTCCTAAAAGTTTGTAACCGATTTGCTGAAGCACCCATTTTGCATAATGCATTTTTCACCGTAAAATTTCTCACCATAGTTGAAATAATACTGGTATATTTATAATTTCATATATATAAGGGACATAGAAAAAGACTTAAGGCTTAATTTTATTTTTGTGTAATTTCATAAATACATACACATACATAAATATATAATATAATAATGTTTTTATCGCATTAGAATGCAAAAGCACTTTTTATTATAAAAAAATCACAATCATATAAAAATTAAAATCATTTTTAAAGAAGTCATTCAGCCATTTTATTATATTTGGCAATAAACTAACACTTTTGAGCTATTCATGCTTTACTTTTAACTGTCATAAAGAGTATACTTTGGAAACAAGTAATTTATCTTCCAGTAGGCATACAATATATAAATACTTGCAGCAATGGTATAAAATTATACGTTTAAAATATTACATGTCAAGAAAATGATATGCACAAAACAGCGAGCAAAATTATTATAAAATTACAATAAAAATAAAATCATGCAAAGTAACAACTTCAATTTGCATGTGGTAATTTCTTGCTTGTGTACTTTTCAGCGATGCATACTAATACACCAGCATTTTATTTTAAACAATAAACTCTGTACAAAGCAAATCAGTTAAGTGCTACCCTTGCATCCAAAGCAATTACATGACTAGTCAAAGGTTTCACATGTGAACACACATATATTTCCATATGGGCATTTTTCATAAAGAAAGGGTGAGTCTTAAAATAAATAATGCAGCAAGTTCTGAACTGAAGAAAGCATATTAAAACTTGTAAAATTTCTGAATAACTTTACATACTCACTATAACAACAAAACAATCATTTCATGGCAACATATTATTAAGACAAACTGCATAACAATGTAAAGCATCACATCAAGTATCGATACCTAAAAATAAAGACTTTAGGATTAACTAAAATACTTTAAGAACTAAAACAGCAAGGAAAAGTAAAAACCATTAGCAGTTTTATTTTCTTAACATGAATTATGACTTTCTGAATTAACATTTTTATAAAAAAATGGGTTTAACACACCTATTAGTCAAAAATAAATAATGCATTAAAATTTATGCACTGGGATCATTGTGCACGAATATTAAATGCCCCAATAAATAAATAGATATTTCACTTCCAGAAATATTTATTTACATTTGCCTCCTAAATATACCTCGCTAATGCTGTAACTTGGTATACCCCAAGTATTTATTATTAACATAACACAGTAATTAAAACTACACAGCATACAACACTATTACGTTGTTGGCTCAGGAATCATACACTTTGCAGGTCCATTCATTTTAAAACATCGACCACAACGAAAACCTGGAAACAGGAACACATCTTTGACATATATAGTTCTTAACATTATATAAGATATACATTTAATTTCAAAATAATATTTAATATACATCAAGCGAACTATAATCTATATATACATGTGCAAATTAAATTTCACAATTATATATTCAAAACATAAATTCACATTTCATCATACAATTAATTCAAAATTTAAATGAGCTATTCAGTTTTAACAGATAGGTTTAATACTTATAAAAGAATTAGTTCACTTAACAATATTAAAAATTCTGAGCATGTGCATTTAGGACATTTTCCCAATCCAGACAAAAGTGTTATGTTTTGTTTCATAATCATACATTCATTAACACTTATTTTTACAGTACATATAATAATCTTCAATCACACTTTTTCACACAGCAAGTTAAAGCATATACAGTCAAAAGTCGTTAATCCGGACTCGTCGGGACTTCGGCGATTCCGGATTATCGATTTTTCCGGATTATAGATCATCAGTTTAAATCTCGTAAGATGGCATGCAGAAATTCTAAAATTAAAAATATGAAAATGTAATTTATGAAATAAAGAACAATTATGATCTAAAGGGTATCAAAATTTACAAAAAAAAAAAAAAAGCTTAATATTTATTTGTTTACTTTATTAAACATTTCTTTCAATGTAAGTTGTTTAAGTTTCTTCATTTTATGTGATAATACTTTCTCTTTAATTCTACAAACAGACATAATTTCTTGTTCAGTTACAAAGTTCTGCTGTTCAAGTCCCGTTAATTGCTGTGCCGAGAATACCGACTAACTTGTCAATCGAAATTTTTTCGCTTTCACTAACCTCTCTGTCACATTCTTCATGTCTTTATCCATTTTTGCAGCAATTCAACTTTTTGTTTGTTGGACATCGAAACATACTTTCGTTTTGTAGATCCTTTGGAAGTTCCAGCATCGGAAATTCTATTTGACATAATCGAAAGTTCAAGTTTACTTTTATAAAATTGCTCTTACAGTCTGCAAAAAATAATAAGCGGGATCCAATTCGAAGATTAAGGAACAACACAATCATTAACATTAACTGAAATAGATAATTAGATAATTTTAGCTTACACCGTCTGTTATACATTAATCGTGCAGGCGAAAACGTATTCTGCACTTGTGCACACGCATATGCACAGTAGTCAAGGTCTTACGCACACGCGTAAAACGCCTGTGCGCATGTTCCAACGTGGCGCATGCGCAGAAAGTTTTTAGCTTTGAGGTCCGGATTATGGGTGTCCGAATTAACAACTTTTGACTGTAATAAAAATTACTTACCAAGTACTTTATATCGGATTTTCGCTATAATAATTACTTACCAACTACTTTATGTCAGATTTTTGCTAAATTTGGCAGAATAAATCTTTATAAAACAACTTGCTAAAGTTAAATCTATCTTTTTATTTATGGCATTTTTGAGGCTGATGCTGGGAAACTAAATATTGAATACTGGGTTTAATTTTTGTGAAGAACAAACAAAGGTCTCCCTTCCTGAAATATTTAAGCAGCTTCTTTGGTCATAATATGATTAACAGCACTAAATTAACAGCCTCAGATTAAGAGCACTAAATCTTGATTCCACAAGATATGAGGTAGGGAAAGATATCAATTAATTGAATAATATTTTTTTCCACATTTGGATATAAGACCGGCATTTTATTTTGCCATAGATTTTCATATCGACCACTGTCAAATTTATGTTTACTTTCTTCATCATATCTAATTTCTAACAGTTCGTCTTGGCAAGTTGTATCAGCCTCTTCAATATTTATGGTAAAAGGATTTTTCATCCAGTCATATACCTTCAATTTCAAAATATCTTCAAGTTGTTTTTTCATGTCCAATTTAAGTTTGCTGAGGTGGCTACTGAATCTATCAATATCATTTGAAATTACATCGTCTTTTATAGATCATATTTGAGGAAACTGATGAAATTCTCTTTTTAATACATTATGATGAAGTAGTTTCAAGTTTGTCGATAAAAAACAGCACTACACTTTGCCAACCCATTAGAGTTTTATTAGTTTCTAATCAACTGCCATTTGGTTGGTCTGCTACCGCCCACCATGAAAGTTGGAATTCCTACTAGTAGATGGTAAGGACCAGGTTAACTATCACTGCCCTAGTCCCTATGCTTGGGAAATTATCATACTTATAATGAAAAATAAATAAAATAATAACGTCTGACTCCTGTATGACAAAAAAAAAAAAAAAAAATGATTAAGATAGTTCATTTTAAAGATGGAAGTCACATTCAGAGGATGTGTACAATTTGAAGAGTGAAATGTTTGCATTGGTACATAAGTAAAAATCAAATACCAGTTAGAAAATGGTTTCTGTGGTAAAAGATTACATGAAGGGCATTTCTATGCATATTATCACGAAAAGTAATGATCAATTTGAGGTTTTCAAAAAGATCTTATTTACTTCTTATAAATTCATAAATCTTATAAAATTCATATTCTAGAAAACACTGGCAGGCTTCAGTATTGACACATAGTACACTCATTACAAATATTTCTAATTTAGTGAGCTTTTCTGTATGGTTGTTAGATTATTAGGTACTCATGTATTTTCCATTTCACCATTTTCAACAAACAAAAAAATGTCGCCAAATACTGCTATTTCATACCAATAATGCATAAGCATAATGTCTCAATACACTCATAGATCTTAACTTTGGTTTTATGTAATTGTGATTCTCAGTAAGCCAGTTTAATTTTTATAAAAAGGTACATAAGTTAAGCACTATTTCTCTGTTTCCTTTTGAAAGAAATGATTAAAATTTTGGACCCGCCTTCTTGCAGACCAAATATTAAAATAAAGAACAATCCACATTTTTAAATTTCTGCTGGAATGACTGCCAGGTTAGTTGGATTTTCACCAACTTCCACTGCCAATGGTAGAATATTTAAGTACCGATTATGATTCTGATGTATCAGAACTACACGAAAATGGTAATGATGTTTTTTTAGCATCTGAAATCTTATAAATTAATTGAGTGAAAATTCTTTTGGTGTACCAATGGCAACTAAATTATAAATTAAAGAAACTTACACATAAGCAAACCATAAAAGAATACCAGTAAATGACATTTGAAGGGAAAAGAAATTAATCTCGAATCATTCTAATTTATTAATTGAACTCTCAAGGCAAGATGGAAATGGATGGCATCATAAATAGGAAATTTTGAAAATATCTTGATTCATTTTTGCCAGATGACAGTCAAGTTCTTTCTTATTTTTTATAATGAGTATAACTTTTTCTTAAATATAAGTATAGGAACCATTGGGCCCGCATATAGTCATAATATTTAAGAACGGATAATACAGGACAGAATAAAAAATAGCACATGATAATATTTAAATTTCATTAAAATACTATTTTGTGAAAGTTTTATAGCAAAAATTTCACATTACTACTGAAATATTATTAAGTAAAAATAAAAATATAAAGCCCAACACAAATTTAATATAAAAATATCAACACAATGAATATAAGAAATAAAATAATGATAAGGAAGAATTATTATCATTTTTTATAAATTATTTCATTAAAAACTCCATAAGAATAAACTTTTGAAAAGATAATACATTTATAATGGAACCCAAACTACACAAATAGGTGCATGAAGACAATACTTTTATCGCTGCTAAAAGCCTTGATGGAACTAACTCCTTGCATTTAAACAAATCTTATTCTTGAGTAACTTTATAAATTAAAGCAGATAATAACAAGCCTGTAATTCTGCAGAATTATTAGTTACAAACAGTAAGTCTTTGTGTAAAAGGATAAATTTAAGTTTAGGCTAATTATCATTATTTATGATGTTAATGTCTGAAGAAATTATTTTCTGTTTGAAACTGACAAGGTAACAGAATTGAATACTGATAACATTCCAACTTTAGAGCATTACAATAATGAAATTAGTAAAAAAGTCAGTGACATTTATCTAGTTCTTAGGAAAAAAAGCAAATGAAAGTGAAGGTGAAACAGATATAATTTCAAAAGTTTCTAGTTTCCAGGGTTCTTACTGCTGGCACATCAGCTGCCACGTTTGTACATGGATTCACTCCATCAGAGTAGACTAGGACTAGCTGCCTAAGTGATAAATGTCATTATAGAAGGTTTTCAAGGAAAGCTAGCCTGTATTTATAACATACCAAAAAACTGAATGCAACCAATCCATTCAATTTCCCATAAGAGATTTGTGGTTTTAACAACTAGGTGGCCTAAGCATTGAAAAAAATATTCGACTGTTGAAGATGGGTATAAGGAATTCAGGTATAAACCCATCACTTCTACCTTGATTAGAAAAAATCTAGATGTTTGAAAGAATTTGAAGAAATGCTAAATGAAAATTTTGGGAAATTGTTGCTTAATCAAATAATCAATGGCAATCATGATAAAAAACATTGACAAAGTATAGTGACAAAATGATGAAATAATTTGACTTGTGCATTATGCCACAAATAACAATAAAGTCTGCATATAAATAAATTAATAAAAAAAAAGGAACAAGACACAGACTTTGCCTTCATAAGTTATTTAGCAATATACAGTATAAAGTTTTTAATCTGGACTCATCGGGACTTCGGCGATTCCGGATCAGGGTTTTTTTCCGGATTATAGATCATCAATTTAAATCTGGTAAGATGGCATGCAGAAATTATAAAATTAAAAATATGAAACCGTAATTTATGAAATAAAGAGCAATTATGATCTAAAGGGTGTCAAAATTTACAAAAAAAAAAAAAAAAAGTTTAATATTTATTTGTTTATTTTATTAAACATTTCTTTCAATGTAAGTTGTTTCAGTTGCTTCGTTTTATGTGCTAATACTTTCTCTTTAATTCTATAAACAGACATAATTTCTTGTTCAGTTACAAAGTTCTGCTGTTCAAGTCCTGTAATTAATTGCTGTGCCGAGAATACCGACTAACTTGTCAATCGAAATTTTTTCATTTCGTAAACTATTATGTGGATTCATAAACGTATTATGCGCATAGTTTGTAGCTTTGAGGTCTGGATTATGGATGACCAGATTAAAGACTTTGTACTGTATTCATTTCTAGGTTTGTGAGAAAATAAGATTGGAAATAAATCTGATTCAAGTTATGATAAATTATTCAAATTGTAAATTTAAAAAAAATGGTGTATTCCAGATGAAACTCATCCTTACGTGCATCACTGATGGAACAGGAAATACATATTTGTCACACAGATATCATTATAACTATCAGTAATTTTGGCAAAAAATATTTAAGTTGCGTGAAGCAAACTCTGGATAATAGATTAGTTTTAACATATATATTAGCAAAGATCTCAATTAGGAACGACAATACGACTGAATAATCTAATTATGGAGTCTATAGAATTACAAAAAATAATAGACAGTTTTCCAGTATACATATACTTTGAAAACTTTTTTTCAGAGCAAATGGTTATTGTACTTTAAATGCTGGTGTAAGAATGATAACAAAATGCAAAATTAACACAAAATATATTTACTTATGAAAGGAAATTCCTCTTCTAAAGCTAGCCCATTATGCCATTTGCAATGCTTACATATTAAAGCATTCCTCTTTTCTTCATTCAGGACATACTTTACAACATTATCTATAGAACTTCTTTTTGATGAAAGTGGTTCTGTTCATAAAAAATAATTCAAATTAAACATTTCATTAGCAGCAAAATGCAGAGAATTATACATAGAACATTAACCCTTTCAGGACGGCATCCCATATATGCATTCCCTAAGAACGTCTCTTACAGCCGGGCGTACCATCCACGCATCACTAGAGATTGCATTCAGAGGACGGGTGATGCATATATGCATTTTAAGCTGGAACATTTTTCTGAAAGCCAGTAGATGACATCCTATGTCCATTATTTTTGAAATGAACACAGGTTCCTGACCTTGAGTTTGATATATTCTGCTTTATTTTTGTATTTTACTCATCAACTGTTGTGAGGTTTGGGGCAGGGAAGCATAAACAGAGGTGAGCTCTTTAAATCGCCGTGTGCTAATACAAACATTCGCGTGTCTGATTTATATCCAATTCCTTTCTTTATTCCATTTTCCCCCTCCACTATGTATGATCTTTTAGGGTTACTAGGTGGAGTTTTGTTGCGTTTTGCATTGCCTTCAGATATATTTCCGTTTCTTCTCTTTTTATTTTGGAAAGGCTCACCTCCAGTCTATTATGGTGGGAAGGCGCTATTTATCAGAGGAAGAATACCCTCATATGGTTAATGAACCATTTACTAACGCAGATGACAGTGATGATTCATTTTCTAAAGAGTTAGAAAGTGATACTTTTTCTAAGAGTTAGAAAGTAATACTTCTCCGTGCTTCAAGATTTACTACAGTCTTAATTTAAAATTTTGTTACTTCTTACTGCAAATAGTCTTTATTGCGTTGTTTTAATAATTTTAAACTTTATTGATGGATTTTTATCAAAACTTTGGAATAATTTGAATAGCACTTCCAAAAATTATTTTACAAAGTAAGATAATTTTTAAGTATATTTTCAGGTAAAATAAAGAAAAAAATGTTATTAAGTGCTAAATTTAATATATATAAGAGCTCAAGTAATAATCTAAAATGATACCAAAAATTATGATGCTAGAAGTGAAACTTTTTCTTTTCTTTTTTTTAAATAAAATTGGGTTTAGCGATGCAAAACCTCCATCCTGTACTGCAACTGCCTTCGATTCCATTCCGTCCCGCACGAGCGTTTTAAACAAAGGTGTGCCATTGCAAAAGAGTTAAAAGAGAAAAATTAATCTAGACTATTAATGAAAAAAATTAGTAAGAAACTATCCTGAAATCCTTTGAAATTCATGTAATTCTTGGCAAAATTAAACAAAAAAAACTTTGAATAACTTCTAAATAAAATAAACTTTCAAATTTTTAATAAAGGGAGAAATTTATGAACAAAGAAATTTCTATGGCAACATTTAAACTGTTAATTTATTACTTTACATGATCATACATCTGGATGGATAACCTTCTTATGCAGGAAGGGTATATTTTATTGAATAAAGCTACAATTAACAGCCATGCTACTAATTTAATAAATAAATAATGTATAAAAATTAAATGCATTATTAATTATAAAGAAATACTACTTTTTAATTAAGGAATAAAATATTATTGCTGGTAAACACTGTAGATATTTATAAATACTTGTTTAACTATTAGTTATCACTTACTATGGTGACTTCTATATAAAATACAGTTTATTCTATGTATATCTCTCTAAAACATAAAATTGTATTAGTATGATTAACAAATTCATCAATGAGAAGCTAGCTGGATTTCACATAACACTTTCTAAGTTTCCTGCAAATGAACTTTTTTTTTTTTTGGCAAATGAAAATATTACGCTTAGCTTTCGCTTATATATTTCAAAATAACTGTTGTGAAAATGATTTTGTTTGTAATCAAAGGAAAATTAATATTTTTTGCAAGAACTTTCTGCCTTTAAACTACTTACAATTTGATTCTGCTATTTAAAATTTGAATATTAACTTTTTAACACACATGCATGTGTATGATTGAGGTCACTAAAATTTATGCTGCTAAAATATATGCGAAAATATCAGGCATATGTTATACATTTTCATAAACTTGTTAACAATGCTAAAGCAAGAAATACTCAAATTTTAAATATCTTCAACTACAAAAGTGATATTCTAGACCATTATTTATGTTATGGGTTAAAGCAATTTTCCTGCAAAATACTTTTTTTGTCTATTATTAACATCTTATTTTTTTGTTTCAAATATTGATTGAGTATCTCATTAGATTAAAACATAACTATTTAATATGGATAATATCAGATGAGTCAAATCAATTTATAAGAATATAGCATTAAGAAAGTAAGCGATACTATTATTAAAGTAATCTTCAGTTAATCAACAATGTATGTTGTCAATCATACATTGCTGATTAACTGAAGAGTCAGTAGAGTAAAAAGAATGAAGTCAAAAACCCATGCTTGCAAATTCAATAAGTACCTTGAAAGTAGAGAAGTAACAATTATGTTATTGGTAATCAGTCTAATTATCGGTAACTGTCTTTAAAATGTGAGCATTGCAATGCTCTTTTATTTGCTAGTAAGAGAATACAAATCAAGCACCATGTTTTCCATTATGATAACCCAACCATACATTATCACTTTGAATAATCTGTTTTTGGATAATGATCTGGATCCCGCACATTTCAGGAGAAAGTTCACTTTTACAATTCAGCATTTACTATGGCTAATTTTTTAACATTGGATAAAATCTCATTTAACTGAATTGTCTTACAATTTTAAATCAAGCAGTTCTACATTTTAGTAACAATTTTTTTTAGTCATCTTAATTTCATTACACAACAGCTTGCAATGTTGACAACATGTTCTCTAAGGTTATCCACACAGACATTTTAAAAAAACTTTGAAACGTGAACCATAAAGTCGGAAATAATGTTTTTAAAGGCTGGCAAGCACCAGGACAACTACTAACTTATTATTTGAGATGATGTGCTTTAACACATTTTGTAACAATATAGTTCTTTCAGTCATACAATTTTCAATACACAATGATTTGAGTGTCGCTAACAGGTTCTCTGAGGTAGTCCATACATTTACTGTTTTATGGTTTTGAAAGTTAAACCAAACAAAGCTGCTGCAACATGTAAATCACATTTTGGAAGCTTGATGAGCATTCCTCAGCTACATTACTTATATTATGCAACTGCAATACATTGTTGCTTAATATTTAGCAACATAATGTAATGCATACACTACATTATATTTACAATACTACACTACATTTACGATTGGCCTTTAAAAGAATTGTTTAAGTTGCATGGTTTCTTTCGAATAACTGTTTTAAAAATTTCTATTTATCCATTCGAACTGAGTAGTTTAAATAAAAGATGCATTGTTTACTTCTTTTTCCAAACAGTTTTCTGTATAATTTTTTTTGTCATACTTATTATTTTAGGTAATTTTAAAATTTTTAGACTTTTATTTTAATTGCTTGTGTCGCACTGTCTCTTCAGATAATTGTTTTAAAATTTTCTATTTATTCATTCGAACTGAGCATTTTAAATATATTTATTAATATAAATTTTCCAGGATTTGATTTTATTTATTTGAATTGCGGATCTTTCGAAAGAATACTTTGTGTCTCAGACAACGGTGAACTGAATCTGAAAACTGAATATATTAAAAGAGAAAATACAGTAAAGCACAGTTAACATGCCTGTCAATGTTCTGTTCAGAAAAGATATATAAATGAGACAGATGTATACAGACATTTTAACTTAGGATGATTTACGCATATTGCTTTAACATTGTGCTCACTGCTTTACACAATTTTATCATCCTACATTTAGTTTCTTACAATGTTATTCACATTTTAGTCAAATATTTTATTCTTGAAATCGCAAGAATGAAATATCATGATTAAAAAGTTTTAAATTAAAAAAAAAAAATACTAAATTTTGTGCAAAAATTAATTTTTTTCTTCTTAATGGCTTGCTCTTTTTTTCAGGCATTCTGCAGGCATAATTAAAAAGCATACACCTTTTCAAAACACCTTAATATTTCTGACATTCATTTTAAAGTTCTAGCCTTCCATTTCATAAAGGCGCACATGAAACATGAAATATGCTATTTGAACTTTGTCAATTGGCCCAGTAGAACGGGAGATATAGAACTGTCCCCCCCTTTTTTTTTTCAGTGTACATACTTGTAAATCGGCATAGATAATGAATACAAAATTCTGCATGAAATACAGAAAAGCCTGAAATGCTTCAATGATATAGATATGAAGTAATGTATCAATCATGCTGTTTTTAGCAGCATTCATACTTCAGAACAGGTAGAAAATAGATGTGAAATGTTGAAGAAATTCTATGCTTTGAGTATCATGACCAATAGAATTATGGAAACTGCCAAAATCCCACATGTTCCATTTGCAGTAATGAAAGCAATCCTCCCATATAATCTGAATATACATCATGCCACAGCAAAGTTCAAAATATTGGAGCAGAATCAACATCATATCATCATCAATCTCCTATGATTCCTGAAAGAACCCCAGGACAGCCAAAAACCTTCATGAGGTAAATCATAGATGAGAGTTAGGTTATATGGGTATGAAGAAAAGAGAGGAGAGGGCCAAACTGTTCCCCCCCCCGACACAATATCTTGAAGCAATGACACTGCCCTTCTATTATCAAGACATTCAGTGACTAACATTAAGATCAATAGGTTCTGCCATGTTTAGAGGTAAGCATTAATGTAAATATTTTTGTATTTTTACAATATTTTAGAATTCTAATTATGTGAAAGAACACATTCTTAGACAACATTTTATTCTGAATGGAATTAAATGCAATACTTTTCCCATGATCAGAACAGTTTTAATTTCAATGAAATGCTTTCACTTTCCGCTAATTACATTAGGGGAAAAATTACGGTAATTTGATTTTATTCGTTTAATAATTATAAATATTAAACTCGATCAAAAAATATTACTACTAAATCAAATTATTTTTCCATTTATAGAGCTGTCTTCTGAAATTCTCAAATACGAGATAAGTTTCAGATTCTGAGGCATCTCTTAACTCAGAAATCATAGGCACT